AGAACAAATTCAATAAGCTGTAGTTGTTCTGGTGACTATAGTGTCCCTTTAATAAGTTTTTTCAACATCTGTAATGCCCTTTTATTGCAAATGTTTCAAATACATGAAAATACAGGAATATTGAACTTAAACATAGATTGCCCTTTTACAATAATTTAAATAGTTACAAATAACATCTGTTGTCCAGGAGTGTAATCCAACTAATCTTGGGCAACGCAAGGTGATCACTTCCTACCCGAGTAGGCAGAGGGGATTGCTTCCTTCTTGAGTGGATGTAATGGGCAGAGGAGAGCACCTCCTGCTTAAGTGGATGAAGTTGGCAGAGGGATGGAGTGGGTAAAAAGATTGCTTTCTGCCTGAGAGGATGAAGTGGGCAGAGGGGAGCGCCTCCTGCTTGAGTGGACGGAGTGGGTAAAAAGATTGCTTTCTGCCTGAGAGGATGGGTGAACCTAAGTGGACAGAAGGATCTATTCCTGCCTGGAAGACAGTCGGAGTCGCCAGTACCAGAATAGGAGAAACTGACAATGTAGCAGGACAGGTCTGGACCATGGGACACTCTTGGAGTCCAAGACAAGAACCAGTATCCTGGTTCTGTTACACCTACCGATGTAAATCTTGGCTTGCTCTAAGATTAAAGAAACCCTGGGACTAGTCCTAACACGAACACAAGCTCTAAAATGGAACCCTGGAATTAACACTAACAATAGCTGTAACAAAATAAAAAGTGTAATATAAAATAAAAATAATGGTGAAGCACGTGTTGAGGGAATTAATGCTAATCTCTTGATTCTAGAGAAATTCATAAATCACTCAACCTTATCCGGAACTTCTTGATAGCAAATTTTTTCCTCTAATTCGTGCTTCATCGTTATACATCTTATTTTAAATAATTTAAATAATAAAAAAGTCACAAATAATGAATTTTGTCAGGATCAGCAATAAATTACAACAAGAAAATATGTGTATATTGATTATACAGATCAACTATGCCAATAAATAACAGATTAATAAATTGGCAATTTGTTGAGGCTAACAAGGAACACAGATCTTTGTTCCTTTCCAAGTTGTTTCTGTGACAGCACATATTTATTTTCAGCTTGTTTGTGAATTTTTGCTGAAGGGGATTCATTTGTCTTTTTGGTTAGACACTTAGCCATGACTTCATGCCACATAGAAAACACAGCAGCTAAGATAAAGTCAGAAACAGCCTCTGGATATTTGTCAATCTCCCAACTGGTTTTCTTCATGTCTGAATGAAATAGGGCAGAGGGTCAAAACTTTCCATTTTTGCATTGCACATTAAATTATCACTACTGTTACTGTTATTGATAACGTCATTACTTTGCAATATAGTTGAAGTTCAAGCTTCTATTAACCAAGGCTTGGTATTTAAAATAGTATTGGTTTTATTTGTATTATTTCAAAAACAGCAATGATAAACAACCAGACTTTAGCTTCAAAACATTATCTTTCTAAAGCATTTCATAAAGAATGTTGGTTCTATCCAGGCAATGTTTGTTAAATGTAGAGTTATGATACGTGTCTTAGCAACGTTGCAGATGTGAGAACATAACAGGAGCAGGGGGAACTTGCTGGCATTTTGGATCTGGACTGCCCGTATGGGTGGGACCAGTCTGATATGTTTCAGAGATGTTTTCTCTGTAATGGCACAAGATGAGCTAAAACCAGCTTGAGATCTGATCGGGGACCCACCGAAGGGCAGGCTATTTCAGCTGCTGCCCGTTCTCAGTATTCTCTTGCGCCCTGTTTTTTGCTCTCCATATCACCATGCTGACCCATGTGTAAGCACACTCTTAACATATCTAATGCAATTCCTACCGTTAAGCTTTTATGCTCTGCCTATACAAATATGTCTAATTATTCTTCTTTTTCCTCCTAATAGAAAACATGCAGCCCATTCTGACAGTTTATGTTCCACATTATCAAATGTATTCCATTACTTTCTTCTGTATGTCTATATCATATTTCATATATCTCATCGCAAAACCAAAATAAAGAATTGAAAAAAATAAATAAATAAATTGTCAGACATATAAATGTAGATATAAACATATGTGTGTGTATTGAGATATGTATATTTATCAGCAGCACCCCATTTAAGCATGTTCAAGTGAGTGCAGCCAACCCCCCTTTGTTTCATATATATATATATATATATATATATATATATATATATATTTGGGAGTCTAGCCAGCTCCTTGGTTTTGCATCCCTCCCTGTCACAGGTGCCTCATCTCAGGACCCTATTTAGCCTTGTACTGCAGAGAACTCGAAATGGAAGGATTTCTCCAAGTGAGTAGCTCATTTAGTAGACAGTTGGTTGTAAGAGTAGGACCTGCCAAAGATGGGGTACATTGACATTGTGGCAGGCTTATGCAATGTATGATCACATCATGTAACTAAACCCCCATTATTGTTTGCCTAGATTAGGTGTTTTAAATAAAACTAGCAAAATCTGTCAGCTGGATTTTCATTTTTACTGTACTTATTGGCCCCCAGCAGCACCCCATTTAAGCATGTTCAGATGAGTGTAGACAGCCCCTTGTTTTCCCATATATATTTATTTCAGGTATATTTACTATCATACCTAAAGCAAATTTAAAATAAAAAAAAAAACCTAGCAGGAAGAAAAATCTGCATAGATTTGCATCTTAGTTACAGACGAGGTGTTCAGTTTTAACAAAATCGAGCAATGTGGCTCTCCGTACTGTTTCAATGTCATGCTATGTTTTTGCTATAAGTGTATGCTTCCTTAATTGGTGATCCACATAAGCTGCATAATCCCTTGCTTGCCCCATTTTAAACTATATGAACTTGGTTTGCCACTGTTTTACATTGATAAAATAGAAATAATATATCGAATGTTTCTCGCTTTTACAATTGTATTAGAATTACCTTCAATCTACATTTCCACTGACGTTTAAACGCTGTAAATATTGCAGTTAAACCATATCTCTGTTTGTCAAAAGGTTATATCACTTCCATGCTTATTAATTCCAGTTTTTATAAGTAAGGGAATACACCTACTTTGAGTATAAGCATTTAAAAGTTTAATCTATATGCATAAACTGATTTCTCCATTAATAAACTATCACGTTAGACATCCACCTGGAAACTGACAGGTTCATTATTTATCTCTCGCTACATTTCCAGAGCATGCATTCCGCAGCTTGGGCCTCATTTGCCTGTTTATGCTTTATAGTATGAGTTAAGTAAGTAATTATTTACGTCTGTATGGGCAACTGGGCATATCTGACTGCAGACAGTTCTTGTCTTCCTTCCTTCTTGTTGTGGTGCACTGACTAGTTTACAAACACCATTCCGGTGAATTTCTAATCCTTGCCTTCTTCCTTTCTTTTTATCACCTCTTTTTTTTATTTCACCATTGTTCTCTGTGTGTTTTCCTTTATGATTGTAGAATATCTTGCTTTTTTTTCATTGTGTCCCCAATACTACTTCCTAAAGATCCGGTTCCTAAAGATCCGGTACACATTAAGATCCGGTATAGATAAGTATTTACAGACCACCAGTTGAATGAGTATACCCATTGCTAATCACCCATACCAAATCTTACACGCTAAAGAGATATTCCATTTCCCAAATAAAATAAACATTATTGGGGGTATATCTAGAAAAAAACAGTTTGAAGATCTCTTGTGCTGCCTTAGCAAACCCTTCACTTCTTTCTGAGGCTTTCCAATCACATACTTTCCAATGCAGCTCAATGAGAAGTCTTTCCAAGGTAGTTGGTCTTAGATATTACCTGCCGCTGGAGTTTAGTTCCACTGACCTTAACAACTATGAAGTAAAAGGACCAGCTGTTTGATTAACAGCCAGTAGGGTGTAATAAGGTTAATTTATAAAACTCTCAATTTCTATTGAGTACTTTTTGTAAAATGAAAAAGGAGGACACACTCTTTACACATAAAGCACTTCAGTAAGCTAAAGTGCTATAGGGGTTTAGAGTGCCACTTTTACATCTATTAGATGCAAAGATATGAGCTGAAATGTGTGATATTTTAAAAAGATAAATTAAAAACAAAGAAGCAAATGATCACAATTGCTTATGATATTTTGGATCTAGTATATTCAGTTCACGAAAAGTATGTGTGTTAGAATATTTATAGAAGATTGTATACCTCTAATGTAATGGCACCTATAACTTATGCTCTTTTGGAACAGCCTTTAAAGGACCACTCTAGGCACCCAGACCACTTCAGCTTAACGAGTATGTTTTCCTGGCACTATAGTGGTCCTTTAATTTCATCTATGCCTTGTGCTAGCAAATGTATACATATGGAGAAACTTTTTTTTTTTAAATAGATCTGTGTCCCACTTGTCCATCCGATCTTTGGCATAGTATTAATCTTGAAGATATGACTGACAGAGGGGAGTAGAAGAAACCTCCTACAGGAGGTCCTTTGCTCTCTAAACATTAGACATGTGAGTATGAATTCAGACGAATTTTGGGAAATTCTGGCATTCGGGTGCTTCCGAATGTCAGAATTGCCGAATTGCCGAGGTCCCGAAGTGTCGAAGTTCCGAAGTTGCCGAAGCACAGTATTGCCTAAGTACTAATATACTTACCCAGTGAAAGAAGAAGAATGTTACATTGTATACAATTTTAAATAAAAAGTATACAAACATAGCCAGGATTCAGCTGTAAGCATTTGCAACACTTACAACAATCAAGTAACATACATTCATATAAAATGTAAGTTACTTGACCAGTCAATGTAATGACAGGAATGAATAAGTAGATAACTCCCTAATTCCCACTGTATTAGGGAGCTAGCTATTAAAAGGCTGAAAGACCTGAATTGGCTGCTCACTGCCCCCCCTGGCCTCCACCCCTGAGCAGCAGGTGGGGACCCTAATGTAAAATAATGGGGGGGGGGGACCTATTGTCCTCCGCCCTGGTCCTCACCCCTGAGCAGTGGGTGGGGGTCCTAAATACTAATAGGGGGGAACCTAATGTCCTCCCCCTGGCCCCCACCCCTGAGCGGTGGGTGGGGGCCCTACAGTATTTCAATTTAGGGCCCCCACCCACCACTCAGGGGTGGGGGTCAGGGGGAGGACATTAGGTCCCCACCTCATTATAATTTAGGGCCCCCACCCACCACTCAGGGGTGGGGGCAAGGGGGGAGGACATTATGTCCCCCCTTATTCCAATTTAGAGCACCCAACCCACCACTCAGGGGTGGGGGGCAGGGTGGGGGGACATTAGGTCCCCAACTTATTAATATTTAGGGCCCCCACCCACCGCTCAGGGGTGGGATCCTTATTAGTATTTAAGACCCCCACCCGCCGGTCAGAGGTGGGGGCCAGGGGGAGGACATTAGGTCCCCCCCTTATTCCAATTTAGAGCCTCCACCCACTGTTCAGGGGTGGGGGCCAAGGGGGAGGACATTAGGTCCCCCCCCTTATTTTACTGTAGGGCCCCCACCCGCCACTCAGGGGAGGGGGCCAGGGGGGAGGACATTAGGTCCCCCTCTCATTAGTATTTAGGGCCCCCACCCACCGCTCAGGGGTGGGGGCCAGGCCGGAGGACAATAGGTCCCCCCCCCATCATTTTACTTTAGGGCGGGGAGACTCTATTTTTTTTTTACAGTGAGGAGCCACAGGTTGCTCACTGTTTACCAGACATGCCCCTTCTCACGGTATAGCGAGTAGGGGCAAAATTTACTAATGCTAAGTAATTTTTAGGCCTTTCAGCCTTTTGGTAGATAACACCCTAATATTGTGGTACCGAAGTCCCGAAATGCCGAAGTTCAGAAATTCCGAAATGTCAAAGTGCCGAAGTTGCCGAAGTTCTGAACTGTTGAAGTACCGAATTGCCGATGTCCCGAATTGCGAAAGTCCTGAATTCCGGAATGCTGAACCGAACATTTTCCCCATGCACATGCTTTCTAAACATAGCAATCACAGTGCATACCCTCTGGTTGCTATGGTAACTCCCAAGCCAAGCCCTCTCTACCTTTTGTATTTGTCTGTGTCTATTGTATGTCCTCTACTAATTGTACTACGGAATCTGTTGGTGCTTTATAAATACCAGTAATAAAGAATGGAGTGACTCTTACAGCTCCTTGCAAGCAATTCGATATGCAGCAGTTTTAGTTGATAAAGTAAACATGAAGCCGTTATTTTGAAAGACCAGTTACTCCATAAGGTAAAGATCAAATTCATTAAATCGGCAGCTAACAAATGTTTCATACGTATTTATTAGGCATATTATTATTAAATGGTATTTATAAAGCATCATAATATTACACAGTTCTGTTCAAGTTTAGTAAATAATACTTGCAATAGAAACATATTACAACACAAGAAATAGAGGACCAGACCCAGAAGTCTAAAATCTGCAACAATTTCTGATATATTTTTTTTGCTTTTAAAAGGCCGAGTTGTTAAGTAGCACGAACATGAAATATAAGACTATGGGCAAAAGATTTAAGACAAGAGATTACAGGTAGATTTTGTAGATGATGGCTAGAGATCCGAAGTGTTTAGTCTGTGAGGTAATTCTTTTTGAAGGATTAGAGGAATCCAAAGCATCATGCTATAAATTAAACTGAAACAAAGGTGTGTGGATATGTGTTAACAAAAAAACAAAAAAAACATTGTTGCAAATAGAACTTAAATGTACCTGGAAAAAGAAAGACATGGAGTGAATGTTGTGAGGCAAAGAAACGGCATTTCTGTAAAGCATTTGGAGAGTGTGGAAAGTAAAGATTTTGTGTAAAGCTGTAACATCATGGTAATATAATTAATCATGCATTAACAATTAAATAGGGAGACATTATAGCTATAGGAAAAATGAAAATAAGGAAGTAAATATAAAAGAAGACAAGTAACTACCCATCCTGTTAGGAAATTGCATCATAATTCTCAATATACCCTAGTTTAAAATGCAATCATTAATAGGGTTTTGCATGGTGAGAAAATTTGTCATGGGCAAATAATTGCCACCCTCCCCCTCTCAAAAAAAAAAATTGGGGGGAAACACCCGAATTTAAAGCTGCACTGTCATTGTCTGGGGAAATGCAGAATTTGCAAATAACCCCAACAGTGGCATTGCCGAAAGGGCTCCAGTGGCCTGGGGTTTGGGAGAGGTGAGTTTTACCTAGAAGTGTCCGCATGTCTAGTTTTGGTAACAATGGTGAATCTGGTAATAGTAATACTATTTACTATTTCCCTCACCACTGCAGACATAGCACTTTTACCTGTAGTCCAGGAGTATGTTGAGCCAGAGGAATAAGCAAGAGGAGAGTGTGTAGAGGACAGGCAGCTGAATATATTCTCAGGCAACTTATGTGCACTTGCCTACTCTATCTTTTCCACCATCTCCAAGTCCATCTGTCTCTGCTGTAGAATTGTCTCATCCAGTGGAGACACCTGAGACATCAGCTGAACCTGCTACCTCTGGCACAAGTAGCTCATCCACTGTAAATATTAATATCACCAGCACCACCTCTACTACCACCACCACCATCATCAACATCACCAGTCCCGGCAGCATCAACATTTCCATTAGCATTATTCAACTTGTGTTTGTTGTGACTGCTTCTGTTGCCGTTCATGCAAATCCACCTGCATCTTCAGCAGATGCAAGGCAAAGGGTTAAGGGTAATATATTGCATGAACAAAGCAATGTTAGAGATCACTTTGAGTGCCTTCAAGATGGCTGACTTGCAAAGTACAAAGCTTCACTCTTCAGTAATGTGCACAGTGTGTAGCTTTAATTAATTGCACATATGATCCCTGCCTACGCTGAGTGTGGCAAGTCTTTTTTAACTCTTTGTAGACAACAAAGTATTCTAAAATGTTGTGGCCCTGGTTGTAATCCAATTGTTCACCATACTAAAAAACACACAAGTAATATTATGGCGCTGGATCAATTTATAATAATAAATATGTAATAAGCAGCACTATATACAGTGAAAAAGCTCAATCACGTGTACTATACAAGACCAAAAAAGTAAAGTGTGCTGTGCCTTTAAGACCAAAATGAATTTAGGCAAGTGGGAATAATATGTGCAATATTATATAGCAAAAAAAGTGACCAAGTGCTTTTGTGCAAAAACCACACTTCTAAATGTATATAAATATTTTGCAAAGGTAGTGCAATTTACAAAAAAAATGTACTTAGCTTTCCCTATATACCTTTAACTTGTATCGGCAATCCAAAAAAACCTAAAAAAAAAGACTAAATACACAATCATAGGACAGTATGTTTAAATATTAAATATATAAAATATGGACGAAAACACTCACAAGGGTAGAGCAATTTAGTCTGCTCTAAACTTTGATGGCATCTTGTGCAATATATGCAAACTGGAAGCGGTGGTGACAGTTGAAATTTTTATTGACACTTCAGGGTTAAAAACTGCTCCATGGGCTGTAAAGTCTCTTTTATTTCTATGTATCCTGTGATGGCTTGTAGGCTCTCCTGGTCCGTGCCGGCTTACTGGACTCTAAGTGCCGAAAATAGTCTCTCATGATCAAACATTTCCGGGAGGCGGGACTTATGGCCATCGAGCGTCATTACGTAAATTACATCAGAACGTGATGATGACGCGTTTCGCCGATATGTTCCTTAATTAGTTCCTTTAGGGTTTGTGTTAGGGTATCACCATTCCTGACAGTGGGCATTGGCAATTGACGACCCACTCAGCCATTTTACCCTGAGAGGAACAATCTTTCACACGCATACAGTCTGTATCATGACTGTACATATTTGTAAACAAACTGTGCCCTATAATCAGCATCTAGCAAATGTGTTTGCGATGGTAGGAAGAACTGCAAAACTTAACCTGGCAATGCAAAACCACTACAATGAAAGGCATTGGGGAAAAAGATAATTGAACTCAAAACAACAGATTAAAAAAATAAATAAATAAAGGCTAGCGAGTGGGCAATTGACGATCCACTTTTATATATATTTTTTTTTTAAATCCCCTTGTTGGGGTCATATTACACTGCTGGGCAAAGCGTTCCATGCACCTCACTTTTGGACCGGACATTCGGGGAGAGCCTTTCAGTGATACACAGACAACGTGTTTCAAATTGGGCTACTACCAGTGTATTAAGAGTCAGGCATACATATTTAAATTCTCATTAATTATATAAAAATGCCCAAAAATTTTAAAAAATATACATTTTTTTTCACAGTTTTGACAATAATAGCGTGTGCATAATATGTCCAGCTTAGAAAAAGTAATTCAAAATAAATTAATTTGTGTCTTGATTTATAGAGTACATCATATGTATAGGATTTCAGCTTATTTTAAAAGCTACAGGTCACAAGATACAATGACTAAAATAAAATTTCAGTTTGCAACAATTTTAGAATTTGGTATGTTTGTCTTGTAGCTTTAGTAGCCATCACAGAAAACAAAATTGCCACACAAAAGTATAAATTTATATAAAGTAGACATCAAAGGCTATTTACCTAAGGATAGTTTGAAACTTTTTACGTAGCCATTTCATCGCCAATCGCTAAATATTGGAGTAAAATCTTTTTTATTTTATTTTTATTTTGGCATATACACATATAATAAGGTTTTTGTAATGTGTATTTTGTAAAGCTGGTGTGTGCTATTCCTGCACAGAACCCTATATTGTGTTCAGCTACATCTGCTGAGTATAACAATACCCCCATTGTATGCCTTTGGCACTTTTCTGTAAAGCTACAGTGCCATGTAAAAGACAAGGCTATTTCAGTTTCTATTGTTAGAATTTTCCTAGATGGATTTGATGGGCCTATGTCTAATTTTAGGGTATTATAGCAGTGTGACTGTTCAAATAACCCCACAAAGGGCTTTCATTTGATAAAGCATATGGTGTATATTGTGCCTTAACTTGTCACCATTTTTTCACCAATTTATGTCAATGTTTGTGGTGGTGGGGGGAATGGCATTTTTACATATATGTTACATTTTGTAATTCTTACACTTAATATGTACCACTGTCATAAAAATCCCCAAATTATACTCAGTTACACCTTCTGCGTAAAACAATATGCCAAATGTATGACCTAGACACTATTTTGTGAAGTTACAGTGCTGTAAAAGAGA